AAAAAAAAAAAAAAAAAAAAAAAAAAAACTTTTTTCCTAATGTCCAAAGCTCTTATTGTTATCAGGAAGAAGTTTGGAGCACAAAAGTTTTGTGATTTCAAGAATAATAAAAGGCTACCTAATGGTTACTCAGTAAACGTTCATTTACTGTACGTAGGCCCTTAATGGGTATTGCATGTACAGAGATGAATTAGACACAAGTAATGTCCTCAAAGAACTTAAGGGTTAAGTGGCAGAGACAGACTTATAAATAAATAAGAATTACATTACTTTAATTATTGAATATTTGATAAACCTTATTTTTCTCAATTAATTAGAAATGCCTTGTTTTTCCGTAGATAGCATAGGGTTGCTGTTTACATTAATTGCCAAGAACACATATTTACAACTTAAAAGATATGCTTAACATAAAAAAATCTTCCACTTCCTATTCCTTTTCAGACCTGGTCATTAAAATAAAGATTCTAATACTACATGATCTTATTTTATACTTTGAAATACTACATTGTCTGTGCTGTGGGCGTCACTGGCTTGTGAATCAAGAACTAAAATGTTTAATGGTCTTTACTGGCAATGATTAATATGGAAGGCACATATTTTAAGAAATACTAGTAGTCCATCTAGATTTCAATAGTTAATGCTTTAAAACTAAGAAACCAAATATGGGCATGTGTAATGTAATAAATGAAATTAATTTATTTTTTACTGCTAAATACACAGGTGATTTGCTTAAAATACTCTTCCCATATTACCTTTTATTAATTGACGTATTTTCCTAAATTTTGACATATTTGTAATGCCGTTGTTGCTCTATAATTCAGTAATTAAAATTATTTTTCCCCTTTTTCTTGAGTTTCTGTAATTCTCCTTCTGCTTTGAAGCATTCATATTAGCTAATGTAGAAGTTTAAGAAGCTCAAATTTGCCAATCAACCTGATGTTTTTGTGTGGAGATGGGGTGGAAGTGAAGAAATTAGTTCATAAGGATAGAAATGCTTAACCTAGATTTGTGGGTGAAGCTATGATAAGACAATTTTCAGTTGATAACAGAGAGACAACATTCTGTTGAAATGTGGTACAGCAAAGAGAGTTCTCTGTCTCAAGAACTATCTGAAAGGACTTACACATCAGAAGAGATTAGACTAAATTGCCTTGAAGTTGGTTCCACCATGGAGATAATACAGTTCTAGTTCAATTTAATGTGTTAATTTAATATTAAATAGAATTTGAATGTTTTGGATAAACTTAGCAAATGCTGAAATGAAAGTAGGAAAGCAGGGAACTTTAGGAGTAAAATTAAGGGATGAAATGATTTTAAATAAGACCTGATGCTTAGACATTTTTTACATAATAAGTTCGTACTGATGTTGGGTTTTGAACATCATAGTTGTCTAATTGTGGTCTTCTGATATTATCAGCTGGGGGTTTTATTCCATTTTATTCCTAGATATACATAGGACTATTGAAGAATTGGGAGGGAAACAAAGTATGACTCCTCTAATTTTTTTCCTGTCACTCTGAATTTTTAATTTTATTCAGGTTTAAAATTAATAGCTTTTATAAATTTATAATTTTTGAAATTGGAAGAGTAAACTCTCACACATTGAAGCCATTTGAATTTACAGTAGAATTTTTAATAACCTCATCATTGTTCTAGCTTTCTGAGGGCCACTGGGGAGAAGGAAGCCTATTGACTTTTTCTCCTGTTTTGTCACTATAGCTTTTAAATGTAGATTATTTCTTAAATTACTTTTTAGGTTCTGTTTTATTTGTTTGGAGACGGGATCTTATTGTGTTGTGCAGGCTGGAGTGCAGCAGGTATTCACAGGCACTGGCACAGCACTCCACAGTCCTGAGCTCCTAGGCTCAAGCCACCCTTCCGTTTCAGCCTCCAGAGGTACTGGGACTGCAGGCATGCGCTACCATGCCCAGCTTAAATGCATATAGGTTTTATACTGTAGTATATTCTAGTACCTCAGTAATGATGAAACTGACTTATGAAGTTTCCAAAATCATCATTTTTGGAGAAATATCAAAATTGAAAAGTTTCAAGAAAGCATAACCATTGGATAATATATTATTTTTAAGAGCCATATATTTGTAAATTAGAAGCAAACTTAGCAGACTTGTACATTAATTGAACTCTCTATAGGTTCTCAGTTATCTCAAAAGGCCCATAATTTTCTTGTTTAGATTCATCTGCTAATTATAGTTTTCAAATATATGTCTGTGTCTGTAGCAGCCCTAGATTGGAAAAAATAATTAGTGTCAAGTATAAAGGATAATATGCAACACTTTTAAGATGCTATGTATGTTCGTTATTGATGCTGTATTACAATTATTTCATTTAAAAGCATATTTTTCTTTTATATTGAATGGTACAGTTATAAGTGCATAGTGGGCTTAGTTCCAGTCTATGTTTTTTTGCCAGAAAAGTCTTCCTTGACTTGAATACCTGGGATTGTGTGTGAAAAGATGACATTATCTGCAAACCTTGCAGTAAATACTGGATACTATAGATGTAAATATCAATAGCATGTCTATTAGCAGATAAAAATTTCTTTATACATTTCCTTTTTAAAGGGCATAAGTGATGAAGTCTTTAAAAGAAAACTTTAAAATATAGAGTGAATATTTAACCATAACCATGTGAATGAATAATAACATAGCTTAACATTTTAACTACTAACTTTGCCTATTTAAAAAGTTAGATGATAGTGCATTTTGGTTGATAATATGCAATTGAAACTGTTATTTTATATAAAATAATCTTGGGCACATTACTTAAATTCTTTACTTATGCATTTATTTATCTGTACTTTGAAATTGTTAAAATCAATAATCCCTGATGTTGCTTCTGAATCTTAACAGGCTACATTTGAATATTCTAGTAGAAAATAGCATTCTTAGAAAAGTTTTGTTGTATTTTATCTATGTGACCTCTAGGGGGCACCAAAAGATTTAATTGCAGGCATTGCCTGGTAGATTCCAGCAGGTAATCATCCAGTTTTTACAATCTAACAGGTGTGTGGAGAAATGCGCTATCAGCTGAATAAAACCAACATGGAGAAAGACGAGGCAGAAAAGGAGCACAGAGAGTACAGAGCAAAAACTAACAGAGATCTTGAAATTAAAGATCAGGTAAGAGAGGACACATCATAATTGCAGCAATTATAGATATAAGTAGCATTCTTTCTCAAGTTGATGTTGTTTTATTCCTGTTATTTATTCATATTATTTCTAACTAATGGGATGATCCAGTTTATACTGTTAAGAAAATTTCTTTTATAGTTGCCTAAAATTATCACCTTTCACATGAAATGGTGAGAATACAACAGCATGCATATAAAATTCCAATCTGACAGGTCATAAATATACATTTGGTTATGTGTATCTATTACTTACAAAGTAAAAAGAAATGTTCTAATGCACAGTTTGAACCTAAAATATACATACATAAAGTTCTTGAAAGATGCCAACTTGAATCCAATTTTAAATGAAAAAGTTTAAAATTCGTAAGATGAGATGAGTTGATATGTAAATATGTCAATCAAATTGATTGTTGGCAGAGTGAAACCAGTTTTAGCTAAGATAACCATGAATACGTTTGTTCACGAAGCCTAAATACAGTGACATTAGAAATGTTAGGAGATCAAAGCTGCGTACTTCAATTTCTGCTTCGAACAGATGTTTTACGTTATATCTTTGTTGAGATGAAGTAGATACTCCAATTTTAGTTGACAACAGGGATAGAGTTTTTAGAGAGGCCGTTCTAATAGGCTGACTTTTGATTTTCTATTTTTATGTTACGGTACAGGACTTTGAAGATTTTCATTATATTCAAAAAAGTAGGTTGTTTATTCAACTAAAATAATAAGACTGGGCTCTTCGTGTCAGTATTTTAAAGGAATTGTTTTAGAATTTAGAAGTAGGCCACTCCAAATAAATTTTTTAAAAATATGTGTCTAGTTCGAGGTTTTTCATCATATTTTCTAACATATTTCCTCTTTTGAGTCAATTAACTCTTTACGACAAATGACGCAAAGACAATTGGGAAAAGGATTGAAAATGAAAGTGATAACGAAGTTTAGTACAAAAAGCTTTTCAAGTCATAACTGAAATCCTTAGGACTAAATTAAAATCCTGGCAACCAAAGTAAAATTCTGCATTTGCACCACTATATTTGGTGGTGTAATGGGTTTTAAATTTTCAGAAGACTTTTCATTATTAACATGTGCAGATAATGAAACTTATTTTATTTCATCCAGTTGGGGGCGTGCCTGATAGTGGAATGGAAAATACTTTCTATCAGGGACTGAAGGCCTAGTCTACTAAGTTTATCACAGATAACTTTTCTTTCCTGATGTACTGTAATTTTTTTTAAAAAGGAATCGTATTGGCATACTGACCGGCATTATCATATGCCTTTTGTATTATTCCACAGCACTCTGTCACCATAATATTTTGGACTAACTGGAAAAATACGTCAGGAAAAAGTCTCTGAGTTATTTAAAATTTCATTATAATGTTCTAGAGGAAAAAAAAACCAAACAATAAAAGTATAATATCATTTGTAAGTGAATAACTTATTTAGAAGCATTCACCATATTAGAATTATTTGCAGTATTAAATCTCATTTTAGTTAACCCATGATGGTATGAAGGCTAAAGTTGCAGGATTTTATAAGGACCACTTTTCATTTGTAAACGTTTTCTGATAATAGTGAAGCAACAGTAGTTTTCATAATGACTTACAATGATATGTTTTAAGATAGAGATGTGCCTTTTTAGGAGGTCACAACTTTAGGAATAAAACCTCTCAATAGTTACAAGATGTTTGTGATGTGATGTGCTTGTTACCATTTTTTTTCCTGGACAGAATGTGAGGAAATCTTATAGGTACTCTTTTTAACTATTTTGTGTTGAACAGACAGTTTCAGAAAAGAAAGTAGTGGTGTCTCATTCCATGGATGATTTGGAGTAGCAAAGCAGCAATTGTTCTTTGGTCTTTCAGCCATGACCTGACCTTCTGTCTGTAAGACCAAAGAACTACTTTGCTTGGCCACCATCTGCACTCAAGAGAGAAATTTACATTTAACTTTTAAAAGCCGGGCATGTTGAACATTTATCTGAAATACTTACAATGATAAAAAGTATATTAAATTTTTAAGTGTTGTGTATCTTACAATTCAGCATCACAAGAAGACTATCTGTAAATTTGCAAGCAAGGTGTTCTTCATACTGTAGTCATTTTATACATATTTTAGTGAATCTGACCGCTTGATACATTTTTAAAGTAGGTGGGAAACTGTGAGATTGGAATGTGTGAGAACAAGAGCTTTTTTGATGTATACAAAATAGGGCAAATGGTTGACCACCAAAATAATTTTCCTTGTGACCTGAGCCTTGACTCTGGCATAATTAGAAGGAAAGGTCAGGAGAGTAACAATGGCAGTCTCTTCCACCCACTTTCTTCTTTTCTTCTTTACATTGTGTCAAGAACCGATGGGCGGATTATCCTTCCCATCAACTCCTTTGTATCTCTTCAGCTTAGAGAATTCCTGTCAGCCTCAGAGGATGCTTCTTGCACCAGAAAAAAAGGCATTTGGTATGGAGGAGAATGTGAAATATGCACTTTGATTTTTATTAGAAAATTTTTCAGGCAATGGTTACACACACACATACACACACTTCATCAGGGGAATTTAAAAACATATGTGAAGGTAAAGGGAATATTATAATGAATCTTCACATTTCCATCACTTAAACTCATTTTGCCAGTCCTCTTCCACAACCCTAATCCATCGATCTCACTTTTTTTCTCTCAACTTCTGTCCTCATCGTTACCTTCATATTCTTTGTCATGTTTTTTTCTGCTCCGCTTTCTTCTCTTCAGCTTCTTCCTCTTCTCTTCTGTCATCTTCTTCTACTCTTTTTCTTCTTTTGAGAAGTATTTTAAATGGATCTCAGACGTTATGTTATTTTACTCATAAATACCCATGCATGTCTATGAAGGATATTTTTACACACTGTGTCATTATACCTAACAATGTTAACAATAATTCATTAATATCAAATTATACCCAGCCTATATTCTCATTTATTTGTCTCAAAAATGTTTGCTTTACAGTTGGTTTATTCAAATTAGGAAAACAAGTATGTTTTTGTATGTTAGAATGATCTGTTATTGCCCTTTTTAATAGGAAATAAATAGAACTCTTAGTAAAATTTCATCTTTCTTTGTTGTTGTCTGTTAAATTTTGTATATAATGTTTTGATGGTGGTTTATTTTTATGAAATGCTTCATCATCATTCTAAAGAAGTGTAAATTACTCCTGCAGTAAACTGTTTGAGGGAGTGGCTACCATGCAGCGTTCCTGATAATCATATGCCAAAAGGAGCTTCAGAGAATCTGAAACCCAAAATACATAATCAATATCAGAGCCTTGTATTTAAGATTTAGGAATGTTACAGGAAGCCCTAACATTACAAGAATTAGCTGACCCGAAATGAGTGATGTATAGATAGAATTTTTTTGTCAACTTCCATTTCGGTAAATGAATCTCAGAAGATGATTCTTTACAGCCTCCAACCTTTGTTTAGGGCCCAGTGCAAAGTGAAAATACAGGACCATTTTGTTCAGAAAGCAGGAAAGAAATGACATTAAAAACCAAAATATAAAACGCTTTCTTTTCTTCTTCAGTCTCTCTCTCCTTGCCCCTCCTCCCTCACCAACCCAGACTTGACATGCCATATTTTATTTGCTGTTTGATGTTAGACTTCTTCCAGCATAGGGATGATACTTATGGGGGAGTGCAGACCCCACAGGTGCCCCATGGGCTTCTGGATTCTTCCTTCTTCTAGCCACAGGACCTACACCATGCCCCAGCATGGAGCAGGGAGGTCATTCTCCCCCACCCCAAGGAGGTCAGACAGGTGACCCCTGGGAGACTGCAGTCTCCATACTGGAACCTATTTGCTGTCTGGATCAGGGGTGGGGAAGAGGCTCTGCATGGAATCCACTGAGTGTGCTGTGGTGCTGCCAGCTTGGGGCAGGAATTATTACCTCCTTGTCCTGCTCTAAGATGCCAGGGATGGGCACACTTGATTCAGTCCTCTCTAAACACACATTCAGGATCCTGCCAGGGGCAAAAGACACACACCTCTCCCAGTGACATGCCCTGGTCCACCCTGAGTGGAGGGCAGTAACAGCAGCAGGGCAGGGCTGGCAATGAAGAAGCTGGAGAGGAATATATTTCTGAGAACTGCCCAGGGCTGCAGCGAGGCAGTGGAAAGATGAGACCACGTATAGGAGTTCAGTCTCCATTGTCCCATCAGAGTGCACCTACAAAACACAATTCTAAGATAAAATTGCTAATCATTTCAAGACATTGATCATAGAGTCTGAAACTGCAAGTATAAGGGCCCTTCTAAACAGCACATGTGTGACTGCACTGATCACGTGCCCAAGAAACTGCCATGACGACGGGAATGGGCAAATGGAGATTTCGAATGCTAATATATGTGTATATACCTCCACTTACATATACAGACAAATATGCATATTCAGTATGCTCATGTACCCAGTATTCATAAGAAAGTGTTAGCCAACTACAGCTCATAGGTCAAATCTGCTCTGCTGTCTATGTTACAAATAAAGTTTTATTAGAACTCAGCCATACCTACTTGTCTGCGTATTGCCTGTTACAACAGCAGAGTTGAGAGTTGTGATAGAGACCATGTAGCACACAAAGCCTAAGATATTTGCTGTCTGAACCTTTACAGAAAAAGTCGCCAACCCCTACCTTGAATATAGAAACACAACTATATTTTTAAGTTTCCTCTGCTTTACTAAAATGCTGAGCTTTGAGTTTGAAGACCCATGTATCTTAAATAGCAATGGTTTTGGAGTATTTTGCAGTACAACAAATGTGTCACATATTTGGTCTCTTAAAAATCTAATGACATTACCAAGTAAGCATATCACTGGTGATCATGGCATTCTCTTACTAGCAGCACGTGGCTTGCTAGTGGCTGGGATGGCAGCATAAGTACGGTATTATTTTATGTTTACAATTTTGTTTTTAGGTTGGTTCCAGTTTTATTATTCAGAGATAAGAAGGCTGACATAGAAAGCTTTGT